TGAGTGGGTGTCCTTGTTTTTGTTTCTCGGAGTGACTAGGTAGCCGTACTTCCTTGTGCAAAATGAGTTTATAAACTTTAGTTATCACGGATACAGGCGAGTATTGTTGTGAAACGTAGCATAGAGAAGTTATTTTGTGAACTCAGTGCATTCATTAGCTTAGAAGATAGAAGATATGCCTCTAGACAACCACATAGAATAACAACTATTCCTTAACAAACCGATCACCTCGTAAGTGAACCCAGCTGAGTACGACGAGAGCATCATGAGCCTTAAACAGTCATTTGATGTCCGCAGGGCACCACTCCAGATCCATGCAGGCCATAGCCAGCGAGACTCTGGGCTGCGACACATCCATTGACATCACGAAGTTCCTGAGCCGATCCACCAACACCCTCCCGCCCTCGGCCAGGTCTTCCAGGAGAAATTTCTCGCTCAAGGTAAGGCCGTGTAGGACGCAGGCGAGTGGGCGCCTGCAGCAACTGATATTTAATCCCACCGAGAATAACGCATATATTTATCTTACTCATTTCACTGTTTTTTTTTTCATCTGTGCGTAGGTGAAGGAGATTAATTTGGACATCGACGGGGCGATAAACAAAGCCACGCTCCCCCCTCACCCGCCGGGGAATTCCGGTGCAGCGGAAGAGGAACGGAGAGGCAAGTGTGACGCTCCGGAGTGTGTTTTCGTCTTCACTCTCGTCTGTCTTTCCTTCGAGCCTTCTTTCGCGATCTCTTTTCTTTCATTATTACTAGTTTTGCAGTATTATATATATATATATATATATATATATATATATATATATATATATATATATATATATATATATATAAATATATATAAATATATATATATATATATTATATATATATATATATATATATATATATATATAATATGTGTGCGTGTGTGTGTGTATATATATACATACATACATACATACATATATATGTATACATAGGTACACAAATATTGTACATTTGTATATGTATATATATTGTGTGTATAGATGGGTTGATAGAAAATGTATGCAATGCTTGTATATGTTCCGTTCCCTTTACTATAGATTTGGAAATCTATTTCATCCCCTATTATTTCGTGTCTTACTTAATCGTGTAATATATCTATAAATATACAGCTCCCGCCTGTCTTCCACAGATACCAAGAAATCGCACGATTCGAACAAAGGGGCCGGCAGCAGCTCCCCGCGGGCGTCTCCCATGAAAGGACAGCCGAACATGACGGCGCTCAGGGAGGTGTCAGATCTGATATCCCAAGAAGACACCGTGAGCCACAACACACACCCAAGCATTGGGGATGAAATCTCAGGTGAATTAACCTTCGTTTTCTGTGCTTGCGGACTAGAAAATGCTGAAGCACTGAATCAATGGCACATTTATTTAACTCTTTCCACAACTCTTACAGGCATTTTGGAGAATCTGACATCTCTTGCCGGCAGTTTGAGTGCGCTAGCTGCACCTTCGTCTCCACCATCAGCAGGGAAAAAGAGGAAGTGTACATGGGAACACTTCGGGGGCGACAAGGAAAATCGAGGGAGTACCACTAGCCTCCACGGCATCAGGCTACAGAATGCTTCCTTCAACCCCCAGTTCCCCGAGATCAGATCGAGCGAATCGTCTGAAGTAATATTCGACGAGAAAACGACTCAGGCAAGCGAGGACACGCCACGCAAGAGTAGCGGAGGTTTCCTCGACCTCTCCATCTGGAAGGACTTCACGGCCATTCTCGAAAAGAAGACGCCAATGAAGAGCAATTACTTGAATTTCAGCAACAACTTCAGTAACTGGCAGTGCCCCGGCGCGTCCTTCTCGTTCTCCACTTTCGGCAAAGGACCCCCCGAAGCCACCAAAGCACCCGACCGGTCGCAGAGCGTGGCGGACCTGAGCGACACCCCATTCCTGGCCAAGGACGCTGGGCACGCAGACTCCCCCTCTGGGAACCGCGAGGAGTCCGCCCGCCTTTCGTCCTCCAGCTACTCCATTAGTCCTTCGAGCGCGACCTTCGGCACGCCTCAGAGACTGAAGGACCTCCACTTGGTGCACCAGCGACTGGCAGCCATCAAGAACTCGCTCAGGTAGACGTGAAGGAATCATGTGCCAAGGTAAAAAAGAGTTGATTGGATGCACTGTTTACGTGATAGCTGTCTCTTCTTTTGGATGTTGCATGGTTTAAGAAAATAGTTTTACTCATTTAGATTAATAATTTTTCTGATAAGTTTATGATGGCTTTATTTATCGCCCAGTGTTAATGTTGATGACTTACTGGCAGCTTTAATTATTTTGTTTGTGGATGTGTTAATTTGTTTATAAAATACCGTATAGCTAACCTTTATGGTTGTAAAATAAATTGTTATTTTCTACTGTTTAAACACAGTTTTAATTTGTGCTGTACATATTGTTATTTTTTGTAATCTGTACATAAACTGAATTATGCCGTCCATGAGATGCATGTCTATGAAAGTATGGTAAGTAACGTAGCTGTAACTTCCCAGTGTTGTTCACATTATGGATGTCTTCGGCAGCATTATCAATCTTCTCATCTACTGCAATGTGTACATACAGAACAATATTACATGCATGATCATTTCAGTATTTTACTCAATTACATTCTCTTAGCTTCTCAGTTTATATATATTTGCATTAAGGAACGAATCATAACTAATCTGTCCACTGCATTAGCGAGCAGTATCTCAGTTTAGAGTATGCTTTCTCAGAGGAATTTCTAACTCAGATTTATTATAATTTGGTATAGTGGGTATTGGGGTACATTTGAATATATGATTAATAAAACTCGTTTTAACAAAAAGTGTTTCATTTATATCATCCATTGAAAAATCTACTTTGGTCTTAATCATAATGTTTGTCTTCTTAAGACATATGGAAAACTGATACAGAAATAATCAGTGAAAATGACAATATGATAGTTACGTCATCTGTGTTTATTATATACAACGAATAGGTTACATCACATATACAAGATTGAGCCTCAAAAGTCTCTTGGTATATATCTATTTTGAAATTGCGAAATTATATAACAAAACTGAAATATGAAACGGTAGAAATTGCACATTGCTGTTGCAAAATAGCAACTACCAAATTGTACTTTGGATTATTAAAGTAAAATGGACGTTTGCGTGTATAAAGCCCACAGTGGAATAATTAGACTAATCTCTCTTGCAAAGTCTAGACCATGATGTAATTAGTATTGATGCCTGTAGTTACTACACAAGACATTTTGAAGCGTCCCTGCAAAGTTACCTCCCCCCCAATCCCTTGTTCGTTGATTCCAGCTTATGAAACTAATTTTGCATGGCCTTTTCATCTCCTTTCCCTTGCCTTCTCTTCTTCATCCCCTTCCGTCCTCATCCTAAACTGTGTGAGCCGTCCTGAAAGGATGAAAGGCTGGTTTTGTGTCAGTCCCGAACGGAATCGTACTCCGTTTGCTCCTCCCTCTTATCAGTGTGCTGTATGACCTTTCCTTTCCTAAGTGCTTCACCATAACGCTATATTTTGAATACGCCGCTACATGATGTTAGGGTTGACGCGGCAGCAAATTTTCAATAATCAAAATAATTTTGTAAAGTTGATGGTATGATAAAATCGGTCTTTTACCACTTATATTTCTTCTTTTTTACTAAGCATAATTATATGTATCATCGCACTTCCCGTCCTTAGAACTTACGTATCGAGCGAGCGAAATGTGCAACGAATCCGTGCATCTTTTAGAACCACTTCTCTTTGCTTATCCCAATTTCGATCGATTTACTCACCCTCTTAACCTTTACCCCATCTTACCGTTTCCAGTACCAACCTCCTGCTGTACGACTGTTGACATGTAACACATAATCACTAACGCACGCACCCGACCCCCTCTGTACCCTTTTCGGTACCATGCTTTCCTATTGTGCTACATGACCTTCGGTGTCTAGAACATTTATTTTGCTTTTAACCTTTAGCCACCATTTAGAACAACCTACTACTTCATTTTGCGCAAGGTAAAGCAGATATATTAATGTAGACCCCGCAGAAAAAATATTTTTTCCTACTTCGCCAAGAAGTTTTAAAAAATGAAACTGATTAGCACTGAACACTCTTACCGAATAAGATTTAGACCTACTCCTTTCCACAGGCTTAATAATACGACCGGCAGACACCTTACATTTCACTTGAAAATCGAAAAAAGTATACAACTTTACAAAGAAATCCCCCACTAAAAATGTATTATTTAATTCATCCTTTGTTAAGTTAAATTGAGATAAAATTAATGGATTAATTGTTCCATTTTCGTAAACATAGGCTATGAGGAAAGTCAGGTTTCTCTCAATTTTGGCCGTTAATATGTCGTATATTAATAATTTAGGTAAGGTGTATCCAAAGGAGTCACGGTCTGCCAAAAAGTCAATGAAGGTTCTCACGTATATCTGATTTTTTTTTTTTTTTTTTTTTTTAATCACAGCGCAAATAACAGCTATTGCCAAATATCATATACGACTATGGCGATGGTTGAATTATATTTTATCAGAAAAAAAATCGAACCGAGAAAGTGACTTGCGTGAATAAGCTTCATCCTCACACAAGCATAGCGGTTGAAGAGTGTACTGGACTAGCTGGTACTGTCTCTAATGGGGCCACACAGCACAAGATGGTTATTGGCTGGTTCGCTACTAATAAACAACAGCAACTTGGGTTCAAATGTTACGCTCACCAAGACTATTGTAAATAAATATTATTGTCTGATATTTCCTGTGAAACTCAGTCTGCAGTAGAATTCAATGCACTACAATCTTCAAATCATGGCATTAATAAGAACATAATTTACATAAAAATACTGTACATTATATGGATGGATTCTTTTTTTGAGATCTCAATAAACAAACTTATTTTTACATGGCACACAACGTGTGATTCAATATTTAGCATGCACGAAAATAGCCTAGTATGCCCGTACATATGAAATACTATCGTTTGTGAATATGAATTATCAGTACATGTATCATTCTGCACATATAAATACTTTCAAATGATAACACAAACAGATGATTTACAATTTATAGTTTTCTTCGTTCGATTATTTTTTGATTGCCCTTGATTCTTATTGTCGTGAGGGATGAAGAATTCTGATTGCAATACTGGCAGATCACGAGAGGGCTTATTGGTGAGGCACACCCTTCCCGGGTCACTGTTCGCACTGCCCGGGGAACGAGCCTGATCCGAGACCTTGTCCGAACAGGGACTCACGGTTATGGCTTCATCCGGTTTGTTTAAACAGATATTTGGTGATAATTTCCTTGTCATTTTGCCGTGGGAGTTGACAGTGACCTGAATTTCGTCGGTCGAACTTGAGGCGGACGTGGTTGATTTGGTCACCGTGATGGCGGGGTGAACGGCGGAGCTGGCGCGCATCACGGAGGGGAAGGATAACAGACTGATGCAGGAACTCTTGATTCCTGTTTCCACCGTTGGGGCGCCGGGAGTGTTGGCAGCAGCATCAGGTACGGAATCCGAGGGAGATCGAGGTTCCTTGACCTGGACGGCATGAGAAGGCGACCAGGATGGAAGACCAGTGGCCGCAGGTCCGCTGTCCAGGAAGTAAGTCACCATGGTTCCCTTTCCTTTGATGTTCAGCTTCTCTCGTTGAGTGAATTTGTAATTGCGGCCTTTCAGAAGGCTGTGCGTGAAGAGGGTTTTGTTAATGTCATAATATGAGTAATAGAAAGGATTTTATTTGATTTTGTGAGTGCAATTGCATGCATATGTAAAAGCCTTACCTGTATATAGGATCTAGATGGTTGTTATAATTCGAATATGGTTATAATTATATTCCAGGCAATTTATTTCACACCGTGTCAAAGTATGAAATTATTAATCACTATTATTCATAGTATAATCATAGTAATGATAAAGATATTGATAAAATAGACAAAGATATCAATTATGGCGATAATGAAAAACAAATTAATGTACCATTATCGCTTTAACTAATACTGCTGCTGTTTTCGGTATTCAAACCTTCCATTATCATCCTCGCTACCACTACCACCACCATCACCAATCGCACAAACACAAACCATCCTACAAATACACAACATACCAAGCGATTCCACCACCCCCACCAACAACAGAAAGATAACCCCGAGCTCGCTCAGAAATCCTCACTTGTAAGTTTGTCGCGTCAAGTGAACTTTCCCTGGGAGCGAATAAGCCTCCATTCTCGAAGCGGTGTTGACGGTGTCCCCAAACAGGCAGTAGCGAGGCATCTTGACCCCAACGCACCCTGCCACCACGGGGCCTGAGTGCATGCCGGCGCGCACCTGTGGGCGGGGTGGAGGGATGAGTGGGTGGGTTGCTGGATGGATGGGTTGGTGGGTGGGTGGGTGAGTAGGTGAATGGATGGATGGGTGGATGAATGAGTGGGTGGGAGAGTGGATAAGTGGGTGGGTGGATGGGTGAGTGGGTGGTAAATGGATGGGTGGGTGGTGGAAGAATTGATAGGTGGTTGGGTAGATGATTGGATGGGTGTGTGGATGGGTGGGTGGGTTAATTTGTCAGTAGTGGATGGATGGTTGGATAGATAGGTGGGTTGGTAGATGGGTGGAAGGATGGTTGGATAGGCGGATGAGTGGGTGAGTAGATGGATGGATAGATAGGTAGGTGAACGGATGGGAAGGTGGATTGGTGGATGGATGGATGGATGGATGGATGGGCATGTGTGTGGGTAGGTTGGTGAGTTATTGAGTAATTGACAGGTTATTAATGGAGTATCAGGTAGGTTAGGATATGAATTACTAATGAATTAATGTCTTAGTTGTTTATTTATCGATAGGTATATAAATGAAATGATTGGTGGATTGTGAGTGCATAGGGTGGATTGTCTTATATTTTTAAGTGGAGTTGAGATGTGTTGATTGTTCCTGATTATTTTTTACTTCAGATGATATTAATGAGTATATCATTGATATAAATCAATATATATTTATATGGGTTTTCATTCCGAAATCGAACTAAACAGAATAATATGATTAAACAAATATACGGGAAATATGGAAATTAAAAATACGAATGAGGTTTCTCTCACACTTTTCGAGGCTTAACTCATAATGAGAATTTTAAAAAGATATTTAAGAGTTACTTAGATAAATAGCGTCTTTGTGTGGTGAAAAGTTGTGTTCATGTGACATCCTTACTGAAATAAAAATGCATCCGGGAATTTTCATCTGTATGGCTTGGGTTCGGTGAATGAATTAACCTCGAATAGAAGATATTAGGGTGGAAAATACTCGTCAGTCATACCAGTCGGTATTACACGAAACTTACGTAACGAAAGAATAAGCCTAACTCGCTCTATACATCGTAAACCAGGTGTATAACAATTGTACATACCTGCACCAATACACACGCACACATTTTCGAATAAGCATACACCGATACACACCTACATGGATATACGCGCGCACACAGATAAACATACTCAATATACAA